CCCGCCGACAGCGCGGCCAGCGGCGGGAGGGGAGCCCAGGACGACCTCGAGGCCCCCGACGGCGGGGCTAGGGATTCCTCGCCGACCACCTACCAGCGGGTCGCATCTCAAGTCGCCAACACCTGGCATCCAGAGCCCCTTCCTGGGGCGTCTGTTCCGCGGCCTTGGTCCCGCCGCTGTGCCCCCATTGGTCGGGTCCGGAGGGGGCGGGACCCGACGGCTGCAAGCTGGACTGAGAGAGGTCACCTCGGCCTGGGGCGCGCGGCACAGACTGAGGGTCCGCGCCTCCCAGAGCCCGGCGGGAGCTCGCTCTCCGCCTCTGAGCTGGGCTGCCTCGGCAGCAGCCGGACTGCCTGGCGCGGCGGCACAGACAGACTAGCCGACGGTCCCCGGAGGAACCCTTGCCCGACGAGGTGCGGCCCCATCCGACTACCCGGAGCCGCGACAGGCGCCGCGGGCCAGGCGTTCTAGGGACCGCGCTGCGTTCGCGGGCGACGCCCGCCCCGGCCCGCCGGCCCCAAGCCCGGCCCGCCGCTCGCCGTCGGGGCAGCCCCAGCCCCGGGCCCGGCCGGGAGCGATTGCGCGCGCGGTGAGGCCGCCCAGGTCCCGCCATGGCCGCGCGCCCCGGGCCGCTCTGGCTGCTGGGCCTGGCGCTGTGCGCGCTGAGCGGCGGCGGCGCCTCTGGCCCGCGCCCCTCGCCCGGCTGCCCGCAACGGCGCCTGGGCCCGCGCGAGCGCCGCTACCTGCAGCGCGAGATCCTGGCGGTGCTCCGGCTGCCCGGGCGGCCCCGGCCCCGCGCGCCGCCCGCCGCCGCCCGGCTGCCCGCGTCCGCGCCGCTCTTCATGCTGGACCTGTATCGCGCCATGGCCGGCGAGGGCGACGAGGACGGCGCGACCCCCGAGCGGCGCCTGGGCCGCGCCGACCTGGTCATGAGCTTCGTCAACATGGGTGAGAGCGGGCCCGGGGTGGGCGGCGGCGACCCCGCGAGAAGGCGCGTGGGGGACGGCTGGCCGAGGGGCCCCTCGGGGGGGGAGGGAGGGCTGCAGGGGCGTGTGCGCCACCTCGGGCAGGGCGAGGGCCCTGCTGGGAACGGGGAATCACCTTGTCGTGGACAAGGTACCGCGGGAGGGTAAACCGCCCGGGTCAGGGCAGCGAAGTCTCAGGGGGGTGGGGGTTGGTGAGCTGCTGATCCGGCAGGGACAGATGAGAGATGTGAGTCCCAGAGGCGTACATTCATCCGCGGCCAAACACACCCGATGGTAAGATTCATGTAGTGTTGGGTGGACGCGGGCAGTGCCAGGAAGACAGTCTGGTCCTGGGGAGGCAGATGAGTAAACAGAGGCTGTGATGCTGTCACGTTGATAAGGGCAGTACTGAAGAGAGGAACAAAGTTCAGCGCGGAAAACCCTGGTCACATCATCAAAGCACCAGAGTAGAGATGAGGACCCAGATGTTCTGAGTCCACAGCAGCCTCTTCCCTGGGCCACCTGGGGGTGGGGTGCTGCTGCAGGGTGGGACGGTGGGGAAGGAGTAGACTCTGAGCTCAGCGGGGCAGGGACTGTGGTCTTGTCACCCTGGGCTCACACCCGGGACTTGGCTTGTCATGGAATGAGTGTCCAGGCCATTAAATCACCTGATGGGCAGCTTGGACCCTCTTTGTTCTCCCAGGTAAAGCCCAGCTTTTCCTCTCTGCAGAAATTATACTCCAAATCGTGGAGCCGTTTACCCTTAAAGTTCTCAAAGATAAGTTTTCCATTACTAAACTCTATTTAATCTTCATTCATGAACATATGTCCCCCACCTGCTTTGCCTCCTGTCTGTGGCCAGTGAGGGGCAGGAGTCTGAGCTGAGGCAGACACTAGGCTGGACCTGGGGACCCAAGGACTACAGCTCAGCCCCAGGTGGGGAGAGCTGTGGGACCCAGAGCAGGGAGAGGACCCTTGCCGTGGTCACCAGCCTCCCTTCACCTACAGCACCGCTCTTAACCCTCCCAACAACCCTGTTAGCGACATGATATTCATCCCCATCTCCCAGATGAGGACAGTGAGGCTCAGAGAGGCAGTGTCTTGCTCAGGACAACGTGGCCTCTATGTGGCCAAGCCAGGACAGGCCCAGGTTGTTTGGCCCTCCATCCAGTGCTCAAGGAGGTGACATTTCTGTGTCAGGAGGGCAGGCTTTCAAGGTGGAGACAGCTTTCAGAGGGATTTCGGCAGAGGAACCCAGGGGTCAGAGTGACAGTAAGTTTTGTGGGTCTTCAGCCATTTGCCTCAAGGAGGCCCGTTCCCCGCAAACCAGAACTCGTGATGGGCTCAGGTGGGGGAGCGAGCCGCAGGAGGCAGCCGTTAACCTCTGCGGAGAGCCCAGTGCCAGGCACAGGACTTGGGCTGGCGGGTTCTAGATGCCACCTTCCTGTTAGAGGGCAGGGGTGGGGACTTGGGACAGAGGCGACCACATGTGGAGCTGAGGCTGGAGCTCCGTGCTGGGGGCAAGCTGACCCCGGGCTCAGGACCAAGAAGAGCTGTGGATGCGGTCACCCTGAGAATGCCTCCAGGGCAGCCGCCCATCTGCGTGAGTCACCGCCTAGCCCATGTCCCTCTTCCCCCAGCATCCCCTGGGGCACGGGGTGCACAGCCCTGGTGGGAGCTGCTGCTGTGAGTCGAGCAGCACCCTGAGCTCAGGAGGGGCTGGCTGCCCTCCTGCTTCTGCTCTGTGATCTTAGGGAAGTCCCTTGCCCTCTCTGAGCCTCAGATCTCTCCCTGTAAAATGGGGCTCCTAGTGATCCATCCTCAGAGTTGCTGTGTGATAGGTTGATAGAGGGGGAGGGGCAGAAAGTCAGCCCCCTTTTTAGGGTGAACCTGGCCCTGGTCAGTGCTGATACCAGACCCTCCCAGCTGCTGCTCAGCCTTGGTGTGGATGTGATGGAAATGTCCCCACATGTCTTATAGACATGTGAAACCCAGAAACAGAGTTTTAAAGTCAGCCAAAGGTGTTTCTATCTGTTTTTGAATAAAAACTAGCATTTGAAGTTCCATAGTCCTATAAATACTCATTTCATCCATGCAGCAACTTGTGAAGCTGTTTTACCAGCCTCATTTCATGGGCTCAGAGAGGTTAAATAACCAACCCAGGGTCACACAGCACATCCATGGCATCATTCAGGCTGTGGATTCCAAATCCCAGTTTCTTCCCACACCACCTCTGTGTGTTTCATGAAGATCTAAAGCCTCTGACGCTGTGGATTAACAAGCAGATCTTTGTTCAGTGGAAGCCTGGCCTGTGGGCAGTCCAGCCAGCTGTCTGAGGGCCTTCTTTATTCTCACGTACTAATTGCACTAGTAAAACTCCTTCAGTTCGAGTAGTTTTAACTGGTAATTACCTAGGCTGATGTGGGAGATAGAACCTACCAGGATTGTTTCCTCCTTTGGAGGCCCCAGCTCCAGGCCCCTGAAGGTCAGCGGCCCCTGAACCACCGTGGAGTCTAATAGCAGAGTCGCTGTGGCATCAGCACCCACGCCGAGGCTCCCACACCTGTTGGCTCCAGCTCCACCTCTGCTATTGGCCTCATCAGCTCCTGAGAAGCCAGCCGGGCCTGGTGCTTGCCGGGCCCCTGACCGTCAGTGGCACCTGTAGGACCCAGAGGCCTGGGCCTGCTGTTCAGGGGTCAGGCCTCTGCTTTTCAGCAGATGCTTTAGGAGCCATGTCGTGACTGACAGGGCCTGTGTTGGGGGCCAGGGCTGCGGTCAGAGCTGGGCCCTGCCTGGCCTGCCTGTCGATCTCCGCCTGTGGACTCTTGGCTCCCCTTGGCCAGGACACAGTGACGGGGCCGGTGCCCTTGAGGAGCAGACAGAGCCTGTCCCTGGTGCCGCCAGGGGAGGAGGCCCTGATCTGGGAGGCAGCACCCAGGTTCTTGTCCCTCCTGGGCCTGCCGTGGACTCCTGCACATCCTGAGCCACATCCCTTCCCTTCTCTGGGCCTCTGCTTTCCTGTCCAGTCCACAGCGATGGTGTCAGAAAAACGAGGTGCCTCCCAGCTCTGGCCCTGTGGCTCCTCGGAGGCAGCTTCTCACACCACCACCCATCCCTCCGCCCAGCTCGGTGTGACTGGCTGGACCCCCGAGGGCCTCAGCCGGCCCAGCCAGACCTGAGGGAGGAATGAGGCAGCAGAGACCACCTCTGCGTGTTCCTCCTGAGCCCTTCTCCACCTCCTCTCCTTGGAGCACCAGGTGCCCATGCTCTAGAGTGAAAAACTGAGGCACAAACAGCACTGCAGGCAGAAGTGTAGTCAGAACTGGCCATCTTCACTTTTGTCCTGACCCTTCCCTGGACTGGACTAATTCACTCCCGTGATCCTGGGTGGCTGAGAACGGGGGTGGGGATGAGCTGAGGCTGTTGGATTCGGGAGACGCAGGGCTCAGTGCGAGCGAGGGACCTGGCCCGGGTCCTGCTCAGCCCCCTGACCTTCACCTCCATGAGCCCCAGGGTCACTTTCTTTGGTTCTTTAGTAGGCAATTCTTGCATATTTTCCTGAATTCACTCCACAAATTGTCATGTAGTACCTGCTCTGTGCCAGGCTCCGTTCCAGTTCCTGGAATATAACAGGGAATGAAACTAAGTCCCCCCTTGTGGAGCTGACCTTCCAGTGGGAGAGAGAGACAGATAACAGTACATCAGCCACAAGGTGATTGTCACGTGGTCTAGACAGTGACGCCTCTCTCTGGAAACTGGGAGCGGATGGACAGTGGGAGGGCAGGCAGGACTGGGCTGGGGGTTCTGACCTGGGCCTCAACAGAATTTGCATCTTGACTCCACCCACTACTCTCAGTGTGATCTGGATTTTCAGTCCACCTCTAGGAACCTCAGTCTTCTCTTCTGTAAAATGGAGATACTCACAGTACCCACCCTAGGGCCTGTTCAGGGATTGTGTGAGATGACAGCCAGTGATGACCACATGCCCAGAACCTCCATGTCTGTCCTTTCATTTCATCTCACATTTACTGTCACATCTTTGTTTAATAAGAGGACAGTGAGGCTCAGAGAAGCTAGGTGGTTTTCCCAAGGCCACACAGCTGGTCAGTTCCCTGCCTGCACATCTTCTGCTCTTGTCCTACACCAAAGTGTCCTCTCCCCCGAGTCCAGGGGCCATCGTTAGGTGCAGTACATACTGCTGAATGTGACTGTGTTGAATGTGTGTTGTAAACTGAGAATCCTGTTTTTAAAGTGTCTTTATTGCTTTGGGGTTTACAAATATTGCATGCTCATTGTACAAAATTCAGACCACAGAGGAACATATAACACAAGTGCCCTTGGGAACCCTATTTCTACCAGCCAACCTCCTCAGGCAGCCCCTTTCTGATTTCTATCACAAAACATTCCTTTGATCTGTTCTTGAACTTCATGTGAATGGAATCATACAGAACCTACTCTGGGTCTAGTCTTTCACACAACATATTTTCTTGAAATTTATCCATGCTTTTGTTATGTATGTTGTTCTCATATAAGTGAGTTGTTTGCATTGCAAACCATTCTTATTAAGGGACATTTGGGTTGTTTCCAGTTTGGGGTTGTTCATAAAGCTCTCTGAACGTGCTTGTACACATTCCTCTGTGGATATATTAAACCTGGATTTTCATCCTGACTCTGCCACTGGGGAGCTGTGAGACATCACACAGTTTCCTTTTAAAGTCTCTGCACCTCATTTCCTCACCTTTAAAACAAGGTTCATAAGGGCTACCTCCCAGGGTTGTGTAGGGCTAATTGAAACATGCAGTCAGGCCAGCCTCGTGCTTGCCACACGGTAGGAGAATAGTAAATGGGAGCTGATATACTGTGTCCGACTTCCGTGCCTTTGCTCGCATTGTACCCTCTGCATAGAATATACTCACCCCAATTTCTTCTTTTAAAAGGGATGGGCAGGGTTTTCCATAAGTCTCACTCCTCCCACTGCTCCTC